CCTGCAATTATTCTGATCTTCCAAACTAGCTTATATACTAATGACAACTGGGTGGACATAGCAAAGATGTCAATGCAGGAATCATTTTGACTAAATACTTTTTTTGTTTGAAGATTAATGCACTGAAATTTTGGGGTCTCCTATAGGTCAAGAAAGAATAGTTAGATTAATTTGTGTTTAAAACAAATAAATAGAATAGAGAACAATAACAACCACTAGGAAGCATCTGCATTGTTTAAGTTTTAATCCAATTTGGCAGTGAACAATTTTACCTTTATGCACATCCAGATTGATATAGGAAAGGTAATAATAGTGAAAAAAAGTGAAGTGATGACCAGGATCCATCCGCACAAACCAAGGCCACTATCAGACTCATCTGCAAGAGAAGAGCAGAAATTTTCAGATTTTTAAAGCCAAGAGTGCCTGTTAAAGAAAGTGCCTACAATGGGATATTCATGTTGAAAATTCCTTGAAATAAGCCACTGCTAACACTACTCCTCTGGCCAAACTCATTAGGTTTAGATCAGAAGTCAAATTAAAAGCCAAATTCTGCTTTTATTTTCACTAGTCACATTGATTTTAACAACTACAGATAGATGAGTAAGCATTTTATTGTGCCCACACTTGAACTCAGCATTAGCAGCGTATCCCTTGGATAAAGAGGAAGTGAGATCAGTTATTAGATGCAGCTAACCCTGAAAGTGAGTAGTAGCAGATAATAGTATATACTTTGCAAATTTACATCCACAATATTTGACTAAAGTCATATAAGTCAGCAAAATAACTGGGAACCAACACTGAAGTTTCCAGTTCTCTCTTTCACTGATTGTGGGTCACAGAGCTACTCCTAGCCTTTCTAATAAGATGGAATATGGAGGTGGTGGAGAATAGTAAGTTTTTGTCTCACGCAGTATCTTGAACTTTATGAAGTTACTCAAAGCTTCTGAAGCCAGTTGACTGTCTTACCTATCATTTGTATCCCTGTCACACGCCAGTATGACAGCCCTCAAGGACATGGCATATCATGCATGGTATTAAAATTCCTCTATGGAAGTTACCTAAAGATATTCCCCCACAGGTTTATTATCATGTAGTGGAAATATCAGATGAAAGGAGTAATTTCCAGGCCTTCTGTGAAAGTCAAGGAAATGCATTATCTATACATATCGGTATGAAGCAGCTCTCAGCATTAAGCAACGTCTGTAGACTCATTAGCGAAGGGAACATTAGCTTTCATTTAGCAACACGGTACTAGTCAGCCTACAACCATAAAAAGTATTGACAATCTATACTGATAGGGAGGAAAAGTCTTCCTCTCTCTTTCAGTTAATAACTTTTATAAACCTAAAGGAGCTGAGGATCCTGCTACAGTTTAACATCAATTCTTCACTGCCAACCACCTAACTGCTCTTACCAGAACTACAGCATGGAAAAAAATATTATCCATTTGCTTCTCTGTTGAACATGAAGATAGAAGTCACAACTCAAATAATGTAAAATTACAAGACTAAGCGCACACTTTATTTAGCAACAATGACTGTCATGTGGTATATTTCACAATACAAAAAGCAAGAGAAATGCTGTCTTGTGAAAAACTATATGAAATACAAGAAACATGCTTGGCATCTGTGGAATGAGCTTATTGTTATTTTTTAACGTCTCGTTCATGGGACTTGGATAACTTCATCAACTTCAAATTCTTGCCAGATTTCTCAGTCAGGCTTATCAGGCTTTCAACAGCACTGAAACGAGACTGACAAAGGTTGTGCAGGTACCACGCAGCCTCAGGCACACCTCGCAGATGAGGCATATCCCTGCCTACCCAACATGCTGGGGGGAAAAAAAAAAAAAAAAGAAAAAAGATTTTACACCACACTAAGTGCTGGCTACAGCAGACCGCCTCCCAGCCCTCTTCCACTCATCACATATGTGCACCTTTTAACGGACAAAACACATCTTTGTTTTTGGCAGGCAACGTTAAAGAACAGCTCAAAGAGATATTCTTTTCGCTAAGTCGCCACAAAACAACTAGAGAACTACTGAAAACAGACTTTCAGCATATCTCACGATCCACAGGCAAAGCAACAATTAAAAATTTGTCTTTTATTTCTTAGCTGCATCTGTAGCATTCAAGATTAGCTAAAGAGAACTACAGTAAGAAACAAGGAAAAATGGTTTTGCAGTGAGAGTTCTGCCTGGGAACTCTAGAGAACCGGGTTTTGCTTCTCCCTAAGCCAGACTCCTCATGTGACAGTTCTGATACCATTATATAATCAAACCCAAAAAGGAGAAATGCAATTTAGTCCTCCCAAAGAAACAAAACAACCCCCAAACAACAAAACCAAAACCTTGCTCATATAACAGAGGCATGATCATTAACAATAATTGCTGGGAATATATATTTAAATATTTATATACTGTAATGTATGCAGCTGCTGAAAACGTAATAAGAAAAACAACGTAATGGCTTCAAAAAACAGACACCACCAAAAACTCAGATGATGTTAAAAACATAAAAAGACCTAGAAAGTATAATCATGAAAGAAAAAGACAAATTGATGATTGTATTACAGCTGTTACTATTATTCATAGAACTGTTATTAATTACAGGAATAATTTATATTAAGAAATAACATTCTTTAATGATGAAAACATCGACTCCATTTCACCTATTCTATGTTGGCCATGAAAAGATGCTCAAAGCCCCACTTATGCCAGAAAAAGCCCAGTTCCACCATCTCTAACCATCCCACTGGCATTTTCTTGTAAGGTAAAAACCAGACAAGCCCACAACTTGAACGTATAGCAGGCTGTTGGTCTGCAAATCAAGACAGCCAATCAAAAATGCAAAAATTCTTGAGCAACTGTGCAACTTGAAGGCTTCTGCACTGTAGCATAATTGCTTCTTCAGCACCCCTGCTTAACTTTTCATGCAAGATTTAATATTATTAAATACACAT